ATATATATAAGTATCCAGAAGCCATGAGTTGTAAACCCTTAGGCTCGGTATTATGGATATCGCAACCTTTCGGCCTTGATTCCATTGTAAATACCGTAAATCTGGGAGAAATGTGGCTTTTCTGCCCACCCCCGGGAGCGAACCCGGACCACAAGAAGTTCGTCACCCGGTCACCGCGCAATCCGGTTAAGCCAACTACGCTAGAGAGTCGGGCTACATAAATATATAAAACTAGGTCCGTCAGTATATATAGAGAAGGCCGTGATAAAACCTACCAAGGTGATGAGTTTTCTACTTCTTCTTCTTCTTCTTCTTCTTCTTCTTCTTCTTCCCCCCCCCCTTATTTTGCTCCCCCTCCTCCTCTTCATTCTATTTCTCCTGCTTCTCCTCCTCCGTCTCTTGCTTCTGCATTTTATTCTTTCCCAATCAACACATACGTATTTTCTTTAGGCATCCTTTCAATCTAAGATTAAGCGAAAGGGTATCTCCACAAGTAGGGTTTTTCTGTAATCGAGTGTATGAATACAAATATGAGTGTTGTTATAAAAGAAGACCCGGTGGATCTTTCAGTGATTATCGTTCATTATTTTCCTTTTCGATAACTCTGGATAAGTTTTAAAAGTTTAAAAGTTGATTACAAATTATCAGAGTATTCTGAGTAAAGAAGGTTATAAATTTCGAAAGAACTTTGTCTCTCTCTCTCTCTCTCTCTCTCTCTCTCTCTCTCTCTCTCTCTCTCTCTTTCTCTCCGTGTATGTCCATGTGCACCTGCGTCTGTGTCATGTATGTGTCTGTGGGTGTCTCGCTGTGTATTGCTGTGGGTGTATTTTTGTGTGTCTCTGTGGTTGTGTCTATTTGATAATGTCTGCGTGTGCGTGTGTCTCTGTTTGTTCGGTTTGTGTGTCTGTGTGTACGTCTCTGTGCGTATGTGTGTCTGCCTGCGTGTGTCTGTGTGAGGGTTTCGTATGTCCCTGTGTGTGTCTCTGCTTGCGTGTGTGCCTGTGGCTGCGTGTGTGTGCCTGTGGCTGCGTGAGTGTGGCTGCGCGTGTGTGCCTGTGGCTGCGTGTGTGTGTCTGTGTTGGTTTATGTCTGTGTGAGTATGTGTTGTTTGCGTGTGTGTCTTAAAGTGTGTGTTTGTGAGTGTGACTATGTGTATGAGTGTGACTGTGTGTATGTATGTTTGTGTTCGTTTTAGTGTGTGTGCATGTAAGTATGAATGTGGATACGTGTATGTATGTATGTATGAATGTATGTATGTATGTATGTATGTATGTATTGGGTGCTTATGTATGTGTGAGTAAGTGAATAGGTTGGTGTGTGTGAGTACGTGCGCGTGAGTGTGTGCATGCATTTTACCACTCATGCTTTTGTATTTGACTTGAAATTTAAAATATGCATATTATTACTTGAACATTACAATACTGATTGATAAAATACAACTGCTGTGTGAAAGATGGGTGTTTGAAAGGGTCAAACGTAAGACGGCCCTGTGTGCCTAATTTGGGACCCTTTGAAAATATAGTTTGTTTGTTTGTTCTCTCTCTCTCTCTCTCTCTCTCTCTCTCTCTCTCTCTCTCTCTCTCTCTCTCTCTCTCTCTCTCATGTAAGCTGAATATTTGAGTTGCTAGACCTGGCAATCAGCGAAGGATGTCATTATATAAACGTTAAATTTACAATCTTAACAATTCAATTATTGTCAAAGTCTGTCTGTTACACATGTACTGTTGTCGACACACACACGCACATCCACTTACACACAGCAACACACACTCACCTACCCACACAGCAACATACACACACCTACACACACACACCCACAAGTTCTCATTGACCTTCTGCTATTTTCCTGAATCTCTACTTCTTTCGTCCTTACAAGGACGTCTGGCACGCTGATTTGTTACAACAAGGCTGCGAAATCTGCGCTTTCCGATCTATCACATCGGATCTGAACACACCGTTAACTAGTCGCCTTTTACGACATTCTTTTCATGAAAGCGGTGGCTTAATCCCCAACTCCCTCCCAAATGGGTAGCAGAACCCACACTGCGCCCGTCTTCTAAATCTCTCAAAGTGCATGGGCATTTACAGCTCGCTTTTCATGCAGAACAGTTAAGTAAGCCAGAGGTATCTTCTCCGTGACCACCAGCAGCATGACGAAAGAGGTGATGGCAGTGACACAGGCTTTCATGTGGCTGGGATCACAGGACTATTCCCGCGTTTGTATGTGCTGAGTGATTCTTTGAGTATGATCCGGCGGGTCGAGGCACGCTGGTTACGCAGAAAGTGGCTTGAGTAGTTGCAAAATTCTCCTGTGTGTGCAGCTACTTTCATATTCGTCCCAGGGTATGCAGGCGTTGATGGTAATGAGACAGCTGATAGATTGGCAGGTACTGCATTAATTGGAAGATGACCGGCCTATGGATCACGCAGACATTGTCATTGCCCTTAGAGAAATAGGACGTTCTGAGGATTTTGGAAGCACATACCACCTCTAAGAATACACAAATTTGGAGTAAAGATCGGCACAGCCAAGCATGAGAAGCACACTGGACGCACACGAAGTCTTGTTAACCAACATAGGACTGGTACTATTAACGGCAC